GGTAAAGGGGAGAATCAGACAAAAAAAAAAAATACTTGAAGAAATGAGAGCCACAGTTTGGCAAATTTGGTGAAAACTGCAAACCCACAGGCACAAGAAACTCAACAAGCCCCATGAAGAATATACCCAACGAAAACTCTGTAAAGGTAACTCATAATGAAGTTGAGGAAACCCAAGGGTAAAGCAGACGGGCCGAGGGGCAGGAGCGGGGCTGAAGTATATGCAAAGGAGCAAAGAGAAAAATTACAGCAGACTTCTCATAGGGAGCTATGCAAGCCAGAGACGGTGGAGAGAGATCCTTAAAGGACTAGAGGAAAAGAAAATGATAAACCCAGAACTCTTTGACCAGCCAAAAACAAAGCGAAAATTCTTCACAAAAGAAAGCTAAATACAGGCATGCTTCATTTTGTTGCATTTCACTCTACTGAGCCTTGCAGGTAATGCATTTTTTACAAATAGAGGTTTTGCGGCAGCCTCGCATTGAGCAAGTCTGTAGGTGTCATTTTAACAACAACATTTGCTCACTTCATTTCTCTGTGTCACATTTTGGTCATTCTCACAATATTTCAAACTTTTTCAGTATTATATTTGTTATGGTGATCAGTGATTTTTGATATTATAAATGTAATTGCTCTGCAGTGCATAGACCATGCCCATTTAAAACAGCAAACTTGGGATGCCTGCGTGGCTCAGTCAGTTAAGTGTCCGACTTTGGCTCAGGTCATGATCTTGTGGTTCGTGGGTTCAAGCCCCGCGTTGGGCTCTGTGCTGACAGCTCAGAGCCTGGAGCCTGTTTCGGATTCTGTGCTCCCTGCTCCTCTCTCTGCTCCTCCCCGATCGCTCTCTGTCTCTCTCAAAAATAAACATTGAAAGAAATTATTTAAAAAAATAAAACAATAAAACAGCAAACTCAATTGATCATTGTTTATGTGTTCTGACTGCTCCATCGACTGGCCATTCCTCTGTCTCTCTCCCTCTCCATTGGCCCCCTATTCCCTGACATACAACAATATTGAAATTAGGACAGTTAATAACCCACAATGGCTTCTAAGTGTTCAAGTGAAGGGAAGAGTCACACGTCTCTCACTTGAAACCAAAAGCTGCGGGTGATTAAGCTTACCAAGGAAGGCATGTTGAAAGACAAGACAAGACAAGACATAAAGCTAGGCCTCTTGCACCAAACGGTTAGCTAAGTTGTGAATGCAAAGGAAAGTTCTGGAAGGAAATGCAAAGGGCCACTCTGGGGAACACACAAATGATAATAAAGTACAGCAGCCTTATTGCTGATGTGGAGAACGTTTTAGTGGTCTAGATAGATGCCCAAACTAGCCACGACATTGCCCTAAGCAAAACCCTCATCTAGAGCGAGACCCTAACTCCCTTCAATTCCACAAGGGCTGGGAGAGGTGAGGAAGCTGCAGAAAAGTCTGAAGCTACCAGGGGTTGGTTCTGCAGGTTTAAGGAAAGAAGCCGTCTGTGTAACGTTAAAATGCCAGATGAAGCCACAAGTACTGATATAGAATCCGCAGCAAGTTATCCAGAAGATCGAGCTGAGATAATTCATGAAGCTGACCAACTAAGCAACAGGCTTTCAGTGCAGACAAACAATTTTCTATTGGAAGGGGACGCCATCTAGGACTTCCCATAGCTAGAGAGAAGTCAAAGCCTGGCTTCAAAGCTTCAAAGGACAGGCTGACTCTCTTGTTAGGTGCTACTGCAGCTGGTGATTTAAGTTGAAGCCAGTGCTCATTCACCACTCCCAGAATCCTAGGGCCCTTCAGAATGATGCTAACTCTACTCCACCTGGGCTCTGCCCGTGTGGAACAACAGAGCCTGGATGACAGCACATCTGTTTACGACACGGTTTACAGAATATTTTAATAAATAAGAAAGCAGAGTGGGAACACTTCCCAACAAATTTTATGAGGCCATAAAGTACTATGAGAAAAGCCAAAGATACCACGAGAAAAGAAAATGAGCCTGGGTGGCTCAGTCAGTTGAGCATCCGACTTTGGCTCAGGTCATGATCTCACGGTCCGTGTGTTTGAGCCGGCATTGGGCTCTGTGCCGACAGCTCGGAGCCTGGAGCCTGCTTGGGATACTGTGTCTCCCTCTCTCTCTGACCCTCCCCCCCTCGTGCTCTGTCTCAAAAATAAATAAACATTAAAAAATTTTTAAAAAGAAAAGAAAAGAAAAGGGGGAACAAATACTACTCATAAACCCAAATACAAAAATCCTTCGCAAGATGTTGGTAAATGAAATCATACAACATACGAAAAGGATAACACATCGTGGACACATGGGGTTCATCCCAGGACTGCAAGGCTGGCTTTAACGCTGAAAACTCAATCAATGGAGCTCACCATATAAATGCACTACATAAGAAAACCACGTAATCATCTTCATAAAGGAAAAAAAAAGCATCTGACAAAATTTAACAGTGAATCTTGATTTAAAATATCAGAAGACTAAGAAAAGAGACTTTCCTCAACAGAATAAAGGACATCTAAGGAAAACTTATCGCTCTTAATGTTGGAAGATGATTTTTTTCCCTCTAAGTTTGGAAGGAAGCAAGGATGTGTGCCCTTATCACTTTTATTCTTGTTGGAATGAAGGTCTTAGATAGTATGATAAGGCAAGAAAAAGTTGCACAGATGGGGTCTCATAAAAGAGAAGGTTTGATCATTTACTTTTTCCCTTTGCACTAAATTTACTTTTGAGACTTAATGCTATTTTCTTAAATAACCAGCTGCTTTTTGGCAAACCTTACTAATACCTAAATTACCAACTACGTATAGCAATGAATTTTCACAGAATTGAGGGCATGAGGAAGACACTCTGTCTCAGAACCTTGAATTTGGCTCAAATGTACGAGGAGTATTTCGTAGTCTCTTTTCAGAAGTGTCCTCTGAAGTAAAGAGTCCAGGAAAAAGAACAATGTTTTTTTGTTTCAACTTCTGTTCGTGTCAGAAGACCCTTGGGGAAATCTACCAGAAGGAACTTTTGTTCTCCTGATTTGGGTGTGTTTAGAAGCGATAAACCTGGAGGGTAGACATGGGACGCTCATACCTCCCGTCGGACCCGGGGGGTGGCCTCGGAACCCTCGACCAGTCTTCTCTGGTGAGCCACCCCCGTGAGGCTGAGCAGACACCTGGAAGGAAATCTGTTTTCGGTCGCTGGAATATGATCTGTTTACTTGAGGGAAACGCATCCATGATTTGGGCTGTAGTCATTCGGGCTGGCCTACCTGGCACTGGGCTGATCGGGATGTTTAGTTCTTGTATAAAATATGAAGGTATTTATATCTGAAAAGAGCCCAGCCGCTCGACTCCAGGGCAGAGAGAGTAACGGCTACAGTCTCTCTGTTAAGTTCATGAAGAAGTTCAGGGGTCAGAGGGCTAGTTTCTAGCTGTCACTTAGGACCCGAAATATGTTCACCTTTAAGGGAGGCATATTTAACTTTTCTTTTTTAACAGTACCAGGAGTTAAATGGTCATAGAGTTACATGGTCCAGTCTCCCATCCCACAGGCAAGGGGACTCGGGGCGCAGGGAGGCCCGTGTGACATTTTAACGGTCTGCACTTAGGGTGAGCCCAGCTGTCTCAGTCCACACAGACTTCTATAATTGAATTACCAGACTGGGTGGCTTATAAACAACAGAAATCGACTTCTCCCAGTTCTAGACGCACCAGCAGATTTGGTGTCTAGGGAGGGGCCGACTTCCTGGTTCACAGCCAGCCATCTTTTTTCTGTGTCCTCACAAGACATAAGGGGCGAGGGGGCTCTTTGGGGTCTTATAATAAGGGCACTAATCCCATTCATGAGGGCCCCACCTCATGACCCAGGCGCCTTCCAGAGGCCCCACCTCCTAATACCATCACACTGGGGGTTAGCATTTCAACACAGAAATTTGGGTGTTGGTGGGGAGGACACAAACATTCAGCCCATAACACGAGCCTTGTCGTGTACCCTAACCCCTGTGCAGAAACCACTACAATAGAGATGGGGTCTTTAAGAAATTTGGAGGGGCACCTGGGTGTCTCAGTCAGCTAAGCATCTGACTCTCGATTTTGGCTCAGATCATGATCTCGTGGTTCGTGAGTTTGAGCCCCGCATCAGGCTCTGTGCTGACAGTGTGGAGCCTGCTTGGGATTCTGTCTCCTGTCTCCTTCCCTCTCTCTCTCTCTCTCTCTCTCTCTGCCCCTCCCCTGCTCGCTCACTCTCTCTCAAAATAAATAAATAAATAAACATTTAAAAAAAAAAAAAAAAAAGGAAAGAAATTGCTGGAGATCCGTGTCATAACCAAAGTTACAAAATCAAACCTAATGATGGTTTTCGGTTTTCTTTTTTAAAAAAAAATTTTTTTTTTTAACGTTTATTTATTTTTTTGGGACAGAGAGAGACAGAGCATGAACGGGGGAGGGGCAGAGAGAGAGGGAGACACAGAATCAGAAACAGGCTCCAGGGTCTGAGCCATCAGCCCAGAGCCCGACGCGGGGCTCGAACTCACGGACTGGGAGATCGTGACCTGGCTGAAGTCGGACGCTTAACCGACTGCGCCACCCAGGCACCCCTGGTTTTCGGTTTTCGACGTAACCTTTCATCTAGCAGTTGGAGGTGGGTTCCTTCAAGTTGACTGTGTATCTCCTACCTTGATTCTGGGGGAGATCCTTGATTTGCGGGGGACACAGATCGTCCAGCCTCGGGCCTCTCGTGCTTCTGAGCTGCAGGGCCCGCTGCAAAGGCGGGAGGAGAGCCAGCACCCAGGCTTTAGGGTAGGGAACCCACAGGTGGTCTGAGGTCCGCAGTGGACGTCGACTGCTGTCAGTACATAGGTGTGGACTCACACACCTTGCAAACCAAGTATTAGGGACAGTCGTGGCCACCACTGTGGGACTCATCTGTCTGCCTGTAGGCCATGAGCCAGCGGTCCCTACAGCCGGTTGTCTCCAGGGACTTCCTGCCCCCTCACTCTGTCCCCTCCTGCCCCTCGTCTACAGGGGGAGCTGACCATGACCAGCGACATGGAGAACTTACAGAACGCCCTGTACCTAGACACGGTGCCAGAGCCCTGGGCCAGGCGAGCCTACCCCTCCACGGTAGGCCTGGGAGCCTGGTTTGTGGACCTCCTCGACCGAATCAAAGAGTTGGAGGCCTGGATAGGAGACTTCGCCATGCCTGCCACGGTGTGGCTGACGGGCTTCTTCAACCCCCAGTCCTTCCTGACCGCCATCATGCAGTCCACGGCCCGCAAGAACGAGTGGCCACTGGACCAGATGGCCCTGCAGTGTGACGTGACAAAGAAGAACAGGGAGGACTTCAGGAGCGCCCCTCGGGAGGGGGCCTACATCCATGGCCTCTTTGTGGAAGGCGCTCGCTGGGACGTACAGGTAAATCTTGGGGCGGGACACCCTCTGTGGGCTGATTAAATTACACATTGCCTCCATAGAGGGTGATTGTGCAAAGGGGATGCCCTGGACCTTCTGACCTGGGTGGCCTTTCCTTGAGGCTCTCAAGGCACTCTCATGCAGCCAGGGGCGGTGCGGAGAGCACAGGCTTTGCGCCGATTAAAAGCAAGGGCTCTGGAACCAAAGTGGCCGGATCTGAATCCCAGCACTACCGTCCGTTAACTCTGGGACCTCGGGACGTGGTTCTACCTCTCCAAATCTCAGTTCCCTCAAGTGTGAAAGGGGAAAGTAAGAGTTGCTGCAAAGATGAGTTCATATGCGGGGACACCTGGAACTGTGCCCGGCACACAGAGAATGCTCCAGAAGTGTGAGAGTCACTAACTCTCGAGCTATCCCTGACGCTGGCTGCCCGCCCTGGGGATGTCATTTCACCTTCCAGGGCCACTTTCCTCATCCACGAGCTCTAGAAGGACAGGAATCCCTTCTGCCTTTTACACTGCCCCCATCTCCAAAGGGAGCCCAGTAGATACTGTTTCAACGTGACATTCTGAAAGGGTTCCTCACTGGAGCCTAATAAAGATTTGAGTCACCCTAAGATTGGCTGGGATAAATGACACGGGCAAGGATGGGTACCTCCAGAACAAGTTCACGTTTGTGACAACACATGATCTGGAAGAAGTGCTTAGTCACTTATCCCGCTTGGCAAGTGCCACTCAACTATTCCTAGCTGTTAGTACAGAGTTTATGGGGAAAAACTGTCAGGCGATCTAAACTATAGGGACGCCTGGGTGGCTCAGTCGGTTGAGCATCCGACTTCAGCTCAGGTCACGATCTCACAGCTCGTGAGTTTGAGCTCCATGTTGGGCTCTGTGCTGACAGCTCAGAGCCTGGAGCCTGGAGCCTGCTTTGGATTCTGTGTCTCCCTCTCTCTCTCTCTGCTCCTCCCCCACTTGTGTGCTCCCTCCCCCTCTCTCTCTCTCTCTCTCTCTCTCTCTCAAAAATAAATAAACATGAGGGAAAAAAAGATCTAAGATATCATAGAAGGCCACGTAGGCCATGTAAATATACATACAGAGCTGTACTGGATTCAACAGTGTCTACCAAAATTCGTGCCCACCTAGAACCTCAGAATGTGCCCCTATCTAGACATAGGCTCTTTGCAGATATATGCAGTTGAGGTGAGGTTATACTAGAGCAGAGAAGGCCCTAAATCCAAGGACTGGTATCCTTATAAGAAGGCCATGTTGGAAACACAGAAGAGAATGCCCTGTGAGGACAGAGGCAGGGATTGGAGTGATGTATCTATAAGCCAAGGAATTCCAAGGAAGCCCCCAGAAGCCAGGAGAGATACATGGGCTGGTTTCTGCCTCAGGGCCTCCAGAAGGCACAGACCCTACCTACACCTTGATTTAAGACTCTGGCCTTCAGGGGCGCCTGGGTGGCTCAGTTGGTTAAGCAACCGGCTCTTGGTTTCGACTCAGGTCATGTTCCCCAGGTTTGTGAATTTGAACCCCACTTCAGGCTCTGCACTGGCAGCGTGGAGCCTGCCTGGAATTCTCTCTCCTCCTCTCTCTACCCTACCCCTGCTATGCATATGTGCTCTCTCTCTCAAAATAAAGTTAAAAAAAAAAAAAAAAATAAAAAAAATAAAAAAAATTAGAAAAAAAAAAAAAAAAATAGTCGGCACAACTAAATTGTAAAAGATTCATTTGGGTTTTTTTTTTTTTTTTTTTTTTTCATTTCTGTTGTTTTAAGCCACCAAATTTGTGGTAATTTGTCATAGGAGCTCCATGGAACCAATCAAGGGCCAACAGAGAGGACAGCAAAGTGGGACAGTGTTCAAACAGCCTGAACCTTGAGAAGGAGGCTGACTTCCTCTTCTCCACCTGAACATTTGTCCAAGATTCTGTGAGCAGGGGGGGGTCACACCTGGATGCTGTTAGGTGTAGGGTGCTGTAGGGTGGCCAGAGCTAGAATATCAAAAAAAACCCAGAGTGAGCAAGTAGGGAAGAAGCTCAGAAGAATGCCAGCACTGTGGGGGAGGGGGAAAAGACACTGATTCCAATCATCTAACTCCAGTATTTTATGACCTTGTTTCTATATAATAATAACTTCCCAGGACACCTGGGTGGCTCAGTCGGTTGAGCGTCTGGCTTCGGCTCAGGTCATGATCTTGTGGTTCATGAGTTCGAGCCCCGCATCGGGCTCTGGGCTGACAGCTCAGAGCCCGGAGCTGCTTCGGACCCTGTGTCTCCCTCTCTCTCTGCCCCCACCCCTCACCCTCTCTCTCAAAAATAAATAAACATTAAAAAAAATTTTTTTATAAATAATACTAATAACAACTTCCAAAAAGCAATACCCGCCCACCAAGAACCCTTAGTCTCAGTTTCTACCCCCAAAAAGATGTCAGCAAAAACGTAAGAATAAGAATGTCCAAATATCCCCTCCTCCATGAAATAGCACTGGCCCCACATTATCAGAGCTTAACTTTTGCACAGGACTCTAGAAATCAACTAAAGGCTTTCAGCAACCCGAGGAGTATTTAGTGAAGAAAAATGTCCAAAGCTCAGTAAGAGAACAAGCTTTGTGGCCTTTTAACTTGACCTTTTCCCATCCCCATCCCCGCCAACTCTGTGGTGGCCTCGCAAACCAGTGTGCTCTAGTCACAGTGAACACAGCAGCCTCCCAGCCACTGGAGGGGGCAAAACGGAGTTGGAGTACTTTCAAAGACCCATTCCCAGAAAACGGTCATGATTTTCCCTGTGTGGCGGTTTCCAGGAAGACCCCACTTACAAGTCTGCTTTACTTGACCAGAGTTGGAGCTCACCCAGGGCAACACCTTTCCCCCCTGAAGGCATATACTGAAAACAAAGACAACTATTTAACCTCCAGCTTGCCTGAGGTAGTAAATAACAGTGGAGCAGGGGCGCCTGGGTAGCTCAGTCGGTTGAGCGTCCGACTTCCGCTCAGGTTCATGATCTCGCGGTTCGTGAGTTCGAGCCCCGCATCAGGCTCTGTGCTGACAGCTCGGAGCCTGGAGCCTGTTTCAGATTCTGTGTCTCCCTCTCTCTCTGCCCCTCCCCTACTCGTGCTCTGTCTCTCTCTGTCTCAGAAATAAACATTAAAAAAAAAATTTTAAAAATAAACAGTGGAACAAATACTAGGCTAACTACAAATACTAGGCTAACTAGGCTACCGCTTAAAAGGAAAAGCTGGAGAATGAGGTGACCTCCAACTCATCCTTGGAAACCTAGAGGGCCATGCCCATGCGCAGGGCTGTGCACAGGCTCAAGAAAGCCCTGAAAAGTCTGTAAGCTCACTTCTGGCTGACCCTGAGGCTCTGTGCAAGCAGGAAGTGAAGACTAAGGGCAGAGTTTTCAACTGCCTGGCTGAGCCCTGGAGGCATGCGCAACACATGCACAGAGCCCTGGGGCAGAACCTGTGAGACTCACTGGATCCAGGCGGCTAAGAAACCTCTGTCCAACTATGTGCTAACCACCAAGCTAACTAAGCAGGCTACTTTAGGAGCCTTAGGTGTCAAAGACAGATTATAGAGAGTCAGTTCAGAAAGGTCATTCAACAAACTACAACAAACTCTATGGAGGGAGCCTGAGTTTTGGAGTTGCCACAATGAATAATTTAAATATTCAAGTTTTCGGGTCGCCTGGGTGGCTCCGTTGGTTAAGTGTCCGGCTTCGGCTCGGGTCATGATCTCACAGTTTGTGGGTTCGAGCCCCACGTGGGGCTCTGTGCTGACAGCTCGGAGCCTGGAGCCTGCTTTGGATTCTGTGTCTCCCTCTGTCTCTCTACCCTCTCCCACTTGTACTTTCTCTCTCAAAAATAAATAAACATTAAAAAATAAAATAAAAATTAAATAAAAAAATTAAAATTAAATAGAGGAATTCAACAGAAGATTTGAGTAGACAAGAATCGCCAAACTTGGAAATGTATCACTTGAGATTATCCAAGCTGAGAAGCAGAAAAAAAGAACAAAATAAATGAACAGTTTAGAAACCTGAGGAATACTCAAGCATACAAACATCTACATAGTAGCGGTCCCAAAAGGAGAAGAGAGAGAGAAATAGCCAGAAAGAATATTTGAAGCAATAATGGCCACTTTCCAGATTTGATTAGAAAAAAAAAAAAAAAAGATTAATCTACACATCCAGGAATCTCAACAAAATCTAAATAGGATAAACTTAGAAATCCATACGCAGACATGTTATATGGTGAAAAGAGAACCCTGAAAGCAATCCATCACTTCCAAGAGGTCCTCCATTGGATGAACAGATGATTTAAGAAACCATGAAGGTCAGAAGACAGTAGAATGGAAGTCATAGTGCTGACAGAAAGACTGTCAGCCAAAAATTCCATATCCAGTAACACTATCTTTCAAAAATGAAGGAGAAATTAAGACATTCCCAAGTTTAAAGAGAGAGAATTCACCACTAGCAGACCAGACCTATAAGAAATACTTAAGGGAGGGGCGCCTGGGTGGCTCAGTTGGTTAAAGGGTCCGACTTTTGATTTCGGCTCAGGTCGTGATCTCATGGTCATGGGATCAAGCCCCACATCAGGCTCTGCAATGAGTGTTGAGCCTGCTTAAGATGCTCTCTCTCTCCCTCTGCCCCTCTCCCCTGCTTACTCTGTCTCTCTCAAATAAAAAAAATTTTTTTGAATAAAGAAATACTTAAGGGAGCCCTTCAGAATGAAATGAGTTACAAGACAGTAACTCAAGTCCACATGAAGAAACAGAACACCGGCAAAGGTAATTATGTCTGTAAATATATAAGAAAATATAAATGGATTTTTGTTTGTAACTTTTATTTCCTTCCTGATTTAACAGACAATTGCAGGAAGCAATAACTCTAAATCTGATAAGCAGAAAGATGTAATTTGTATCATGAAAACAGCACAAGGTCTTAAGCAGAGGAAGGGGAAGGAAAGGAACATATAGAGGAATAAAGTTTTGTCTACTACTGAAATTAAGTTGGTATTCATTGAAGTTGATGTTTGTACACTGAAGTTCATTGTAATCCCTAGGGAAATCACTAAGAAAATAATTTTTTATATATAGTAAAAGAAATAACAAGGGAATTAAAATGGTCCACTGAAATAGATCTATTTAACACAAAAGAAGGCAGCAATGGAGAAACCAAGGAACAATAAAGACCCAAGACATAGAAAACAAAGAGTCAAATGGCAGATGTAAACCTTACCTTATCAGTAATTACATTAAATATAAATAAATTAAACACTACAATCAAAAGGCAGAGAATGGCAGAATGGATTTTTTTTTAATGATACAAGTATACGCTGTCTACACGAGATACACTTTAGATTCAAAGACACAAATAGGTTAAAAGTTAAGAGATGGAAACAAATATGCCATTCATATAGAGAATTCAACCATAATCACTGGAGGCACCAATACCCCACTACTCATGGTGGCTGCCCACCCCTAGTTTCTTGCCCGGGGGGGGGGGGGGATGATGAAAATGTTCTGGAATTACAAAGTGATGATTGTACATTAAAAGACACTGACTTGTACATTTTAAAAGGGTTGGTTCTGAGGTACGTGTGGAAAAAAGAAAGGTTCTACCCCTTCTCCCACTCCCTGCCATAAACACTCAGTTGTTGACGTTAAGGGAGTGCCTACTGTTTCCCTAAGATCTGTTACTCATCATGCCTCATACCAGCCTCTAACAGAACTGAAAAGGCACATCCTCCCCTTTAAGTGCATTTCATGGAGGGGCACCTGGGTGGCTCAGTCGGTTAAGCATCCAACTTCAACTCAGGTCATGATCTCAAGGTCTGTGAGTTCGAGCCCTGCATTAGGCTCTGTGCTAATGGCTCAGAGCCTGGAGCCTGCTTCAGACTCTGTGTCTCCCTCTCTCTCTGCCCCTCCCCTGCTTGCTCTCTGTCTCTCTCTCTGTCTCTCTCTCTCAAAAATAGTAAACATTAAAAAAAATTTTTTAAATAAAACATTTCATGGAAAATGAGCCAAGCTCTATCCATAGTAGAAGGGGATCAAAGTCACCAGGGCAACTGCGAGGTATCTGTGAATCGCTCTGTATCAACATTTCCCACAGTAAGTTCCATAAAACACTAGTGCCATAGGAAATAAATAGATTGAAAAGAAAAGAGTCCTGTGGTCAAATAAGTTTGGGAAGCACCAGGTTAAATAAAGTTCACCCCTTTTCTTTACTGCTAGGACTTCCTGTCTTCAGTGTATGGTAAGCACCTTTTCCCAAGCTTATTTGATACAGGAATGCTTTTGGTCCTCAGAACGTTTCTCAGGACTAGGAAAAAAAAATAATAGTAAATAAAAATAAACAGCCCCACATCACTCTATTGATTCATCTCAGAAAACCACAGAGGCCCCACCTAGAAAGCTCCAGAAGTTAGGTCCCTATCACATGAGTAAAGATAGAACATAGCTCCGCTCAAGAAGTCAAAATGCTCTAGAGGGTGGAGGAGGCCCAATATGAAGCTGAAAAAGACATAACCGAACCCTTAAAATCTAAAACATTTGCTGGCACAAACTGTGTCTTCCTCGTCTTTCAAAGCCCTAGCACCTTCCATGATGACCATCTGGCAAATAGTTGCATTCGATATGCTTATGAAGTGAATGGATGAGGAAATAAAAATAGAGGCTCAAGTCACAAAGGGATTAATCTGTATATGATACATAACAACTTCTAGAACTCTCCTTCAGAAAGTGATTTAGGCTAGACAACAGCAGAAATCGGTTTCCCGCATCTCAGCTGCCGTCCCATCGTGGGTTAACAGTTCATAAGGCAGCCAGGCCTTCCCAGTGTCTCAGCTGCTGGGCCTTCTGACAGGAGGCTGGCTGGCTGGCTGCACTCTGTGTCTGATCTAAGGTGGCTCCTTTCATGTTCTTGTCCCCAGGCAGGGGTCATTACGGAGGCGAAGCTGAAGGACCTGACACCCCCCATGCCCGTGATGTTCATCAAGGCCATTCCTGCAGATAAACAGGACAGCCGCAGCGTCTATCCTTGTCCCGTGTACAAGACTTGCCAGCGGGGACCCACCTATGTGTGGACTTTCAACCTGAAGACCAAGGAGAAGGCATCTAAGTGGGTTCTTGCTGGAGTCGCTTTGCTTCTCCAGATTTAGCCACTGAGAACACAAGGCTGGGCTGGAAGCTGCCCAGAGGGACAAGGCGGGGAGGGGTGACACAGACGCATAGATAAGAAATCACATGTACTTGGGGCACCTGGCTGGCTCAGTCGGTTAAGTATCTGACTTCGGCTCAGGTCATGATCACGCGGTTTGTGAGTTCGAGCCCTGCTGACAGTTCAAAGCCCGGAGTCTGCTTCGGAATCTGTCTCTCCCTCTCTCTGCTCCTCCCCTGCTCGTCCTGTCTCTCTCTCTCTCTCTCTCAAAGATAAACAAACATTAAAAAAAAAAAAAATCACATGTACTCACAATTCTGTAGAATTCTTGTAGGGAACCCGGAGAGATGTGCCTACAATTGCGGCGACAGCTGGACGAATTCGGGTCCAGGAGCGAGCAGGGGAAGCATTTCACAACACTGCACCGTTCCTAATAAAGTGATTTCTTCTTCGACTGTGTCTGGTCCCAGCTTTGTGAGCAGGCAGAGTCATAAATGATCCTGGAGAGACCAAGAGAAACGAACCACAAACACCTGAGCCCTGATGTAGTTACACGGCACAGTACCCAGTGCTCCGCTCCCAGCTACTCCACAGACGAGCAGCTGTCAGCATCGCCCCAGGGTCAGAGGCTGCATTGTGACCAGTTACTCTGGATCAGGGATCGCCAAATTTTTTCTAGAAAGGGCCACTCGGTAAATGGTCTATGCTTTGCAGGGCATTTTTCTCTGCTGCAATGACTCAACCCAGAACATAAATAAATGGGTGTGGCTGGGCTCCAATAAAACCATATTTACAAAAACAGATGCTGGGCCACATTTTGCCGATCAGTGATCTAAAGGACAGAGGAAGTATACATAGGACATGTATCCCTTATTAACTCACACATGCATTAGACACTTACCATGTGCTGAGAACACAACCGTGAATGAGATAGGTTGTTTCCCAGTATCTCTATCATCCATCAGATCATTTCAGAGGGACCCATGAAGAAACCCTGTGCCTGCAGCTTTTTAGCCTAAAAGTTTTCTAGATTTTTCTCTGCCACATTTTCGCTGGAATCCCAAAGAGCTCCACTGTTTTAAAGAGCTCTTATAGGAAGGTTTGCTAAGAAGAGTCCAGGAGGGCCCAGTATTCCTTCTGGAATCATTACCACCACCCCCCCCCCCCCCGCCCACATATCCTTGATGAATTAGGATTTACAACAGGGGCCCTTAAACTTGAGCTGGCATCCGAGTTCCCCTGGAGGGCTGGTTCATCTCTCTCAAAAATAAACATTAAAAAAAAAAACCTGAAACATAAAATCCCACCACCCTACAAATCTCTGCTGTACCGAATACAAAATCGAACGCTGGTTCCTCCATGATTTTCCTGCTTTCTGCCCTGTGGTTCCTGCACTTCCTAATGAGGGGCCTTCCCCCTCACCTTCATGCTACAAGGGAGGTTAAAAATCCCTCTGGAAGCCAAGAAATCCAACTTGAGTTTCTATCTGCCGATTCGTGCCTACAGATCACTGCCCTCCTTCCTGGTCCTCACCAGCAGCAGTAAACTCGGAGCAGGCAAGAGGAGGATGAAGAAGGAAGGAAGGTGAAACTCCCACACCATGAGAGCAGGACACTGGGGGGGGGGGGGGGGGGGGGCGTGCGACTTCGAAGAGGGGACAAGTGGGCAGGTTAGATGTATGTGTCACACCCCTAGACAGAACAGACATTACATCACTACTAATGACTTCTTCCTAGTATCTACTGACAAAATGGGGTAATAAAGGTAATTTTAAAGCACAGAACACTCTGGAAAATTGACAGCCAGGAGAAAGAGGGGCAGGTTGAGGCAGGTGAGCAAGCGGGAGATGATCTCAGAAGAGACAAAGAAGGCCCAGCGCTAACCCAGCTCTCACACCTGGGCACCAGGTTCGCGATTTCCTGTCGCTCTTCCGCTGACGGATACACCTGGTAAGTCTGTACGGGATGGTCAGGTGCTCAACTACCGTTCAGGGTGATTCCATGAGAAAATGCACCTTGAGTTACGCTTAGAACACAGGGGACACTTCAGACACAAAGATACGGGGTAACTCTAAGAAGTTTATTTAGAACGAGAGACACTTGAGGTTAATTTTGCACCCGTGTGGCAAGGAACACACGTGAGCTCACTGGCCCTCTCTGCTGCCCTTCCTGTGACAGAAGATCTGCTCCCGAACCCCCCTCCTAAACCGCTGATCCCAGGCCCTTCCCATGAGCCGCCATGAGCTGCCATGCAGCCAATCCAGCTGAGCTCTCCCCAGACGGCACTTGTAGAACAGGATCTCCAAGTGAAGCTTTTTCCCCAAGGGATCCACCGCAAGAGACGAGCTGACGGAGAAAGACCACTCTTTCTCCCGACGCAGAGGCAAGAAATGAAACCCACACGAAATCCAACCCAGAGGCCAACGTGTCCTCCCAGTCCAAAGCCGTGCCCTGGTGACTCTCCTCTCGAATCCATAAAATAACAGAGAGAACAGGGCTGGCCTTTAAGAGATGCGATGTCTCCAGATGGAAGGAAGTATTTTTAAATGGCCCAGAGATAGAAATGGGCTCAGGGAGCTTGGCTACTGAAAGGGCTTCTTTCCTAAGTGGGATCTTTGATGTTTATCAAGGCTCGAGCTCCAGCTGAAACTCTTCCCGCAGCGGGGACACTTGTACGGTTTCTCTCCTGTGTGCACTCTCTGATGCCTGTTAAAGTTTGACCTCTGAATAAAACTCTTCTCGCAGATGGGACATTTGTAGGGCTTCTCTCCCGTGTGGATCTTCTCGTGGTGACGCAGTCCCGAGAAGTCGCTGAAGCCTTTGCCACAGTGGCCACATTTACAGGGCTTCTCCCCCGTGTGGATTCTCTGGTGCTTCACGAAGTCTGAACTCCGCAGAAAGGCTTTTTTGCAGGTGGGGCACTGGAAGTATGTCTCTCCAGTGTGAGTTCTCTGGTGAAAAACAAGCTGAGAATTCCTGTAAAAGCTTTTCCCGCACTCCCTGCAGGTGGGGAGTTTTTGGGCCATGGGGGCCCTCGGCTGCCCCTTCGGGGAGGCGTCTCTCTTCTCCTCCAGACACAGCAGGGACAGTTCTTCTGGACGGGGACTGGCCACATGCTGTTTCCCAGAATTCCTCTCTTGAGGAGAGAGCTGGCCCACCGGCCCCTCACCCTGCAGGTCTCCTGGGGCCTCAGGGCGACCGTCCACTTCTCCAAAGCATCTCGGTGCATCCTCACCGAAGAGGCCGCTCAAGGAGGCCTGGGAAGGCGCCTCCCCTGAGGCGTGGCAGGAGACGTCGGAAGGCTCCTGGCCCCTGCAATTTTCCAAATTCAGGTTCTCTTTGTCATTCTCTTGCCTGTCTCCTGGAAGAAGAAAGAAGATTTGAAATCGTTCCATCAATGCTGTGCCCTGTTTTCTAACCCCTACGTCAAGAAAAAGGTCCTCGGAAAACATGAATTCTCCTTATCAAGAAGGCGTCAGTGAGTGAGGAAGGAAGACACCATCCGGCCTGGGCGACCGGACACTCACTGCACTCGTGCTGGGGTCCGGGCTCAGTGTCCAGCTCCAGAGCCGAGAACCTCACAGGGCAGACGGAGCGCACAGAGGGCTCTGCTGACCGCCCCTGCCCCCCGTAAACGAGCGGCGCGCATTTCTTAAGGCCCAGGAAAAACAAGTGTATTATGTAAGGGCGTTACTTTGCAAAACGATTCGTTTTTAATCTGATTACATCTAAAGCACTAAAAGCAATTTGGAGAGAAAAACATAAAGAAGAAAAGCAAATCGACCTCAATCACACCATCCAGAGGTAGCAACCATGATTATGTATTTCCTTCTGGTCTTTGTTTAGTCTTTACCTGTGTATGTATGTGTGCTTTTTTGGGGGGGCGGGATGGGGAGGACTCACGGTTTGTGAGTTCGAGCCCCGTGTCGGGCTCTGTGCTGACAGCTTGGAGCCTGAAGCCTGTTCCGGATTCTGTCTCCCTTTCTCTCTGCCCCGGCCCTGCTCACACTCTGTCTCTGTCTCTCTCAAAAATAAACGTTAAAAAAAAAATTTTTTTTTTTAATTTTCTTTTGCTCATACCTTAAGTTTTTGGTTGCTACCACTAAATGATACGTAAAGATTTTTATTCTGGTGGTAGAATATGCTTTCCAACTTTTATATGTTATTTCTGTAGACTAAGGAAGCTATTCACCTTTCTCTTTTCTGCATCAGTGCCTTCAAATTACCTGCTAGAGCCCCAGGAATCTGCTAAAGAGTTAGATCTGACTTAATTCACAAAGTCTTAGGACACACCCCTCTCAGATGACAAAGGCACTTTCTCTGGTCTTTAAAGTGACAAAGGTACTTTCTCTTGTCTTTAAAGGAGCCGTTATGAATATCATTTGAAAGCTGAATAACGATCTATTGTAGAGACGTCACCATGAACACATAATAGCAAACACATGATTTACTGAAGGATTTTCCTACTCTGGACACCAAAGCTATTTGTTGTGGGTTTGCTACTATAAACAACACTGTGCTTTTCTTCATACTTTTTGCCCACATTTCTGACCATTTTGGGTTCCCTGCAGGGTTATTACCATGTCAGCAGGCACGAACATTGATACTGAGGCTCCTGACACTGGCTGGCGAATTGATCTCCAGGACTGTGCCACCCCCACTATGACCAGCTGGGCTAAGCAAAGGACAGTGTTCGGGCCTTAAGTACTGAGTATTAATATCTAAAATATTGGCCTTCTCTGAGGGGCGCCTGGGTGGCTCAGTTGGTTAAGCATCCGACTTTGGCTCAGGTCATGATCCCATGGTTCATGGGTTCGAACCCCGTGTCAGGCTCTGTGCTGACAGCTCAGAGCCTGAAGCCTGCTTCGGATTCTGTGTCTCCCTCTCTCTCTGCCCCTCCCCTGCTCAGTCTGTCCGTCTCTCAGAAATAAATGTTAAAAAAAAAAAAAATTTTTTTTTTTTAAATACTGGCCTTTGAAACCAGTGAAAACAGTTTCTCACTGTTATAAATTTTAACACCTTTGTTATTAAAGGATGAGTTTTTTCACATTTAAGACCTACGTTTCGTAAAGACTGCTGCCCATTCTTTCATTGAGAAAGTCATTTTTTTTTTCTTATTATCCTGCATTAACTCTCACCATGTTAAGAAAAATACTCATTTAGGGGCGCTTGGGTGGCTCAGTCTATTGAGCGTCTGACTTCAGCTCGGGTCACGATCTCACAGTTTGTGAGCTGGAGCCCTGTGTAGGGCTCTCTGCTGTCAGCATGGAGCCCGACTCAGATCCTCTGTCCCCTGACTCTCTCTGCCCCTCCCCTACTTGCGCTCTCTCTCTCAAAAATATACAGAAAGAAAGAAAGAAAAAGAAAGGAAAGAAAGATAATCATTTATCTGTCATTTTCATTAACAGTGTTTTTCACCAATACCTGAATTTTGTTTGTGGCCATTTATGTATATGTGTAAGTTGTGGGGGTTTTCTTAATTTTAAGTATACTCAAGTCTATTTTTTTTTTTCTAACATTTATTTATTTTTGAGAGAGACAGAGCACAAGTACAACCAGGGCAGAGAGAGAGGGAGGCACAGAATCTGAAGCAGGCTCCAGGCTCCGAGCTGTCACAGCACAGAGCCCGACGCGGGGCTCGAACCCATGAACTGTGAGACCATGACCCGAGGTGAAGTCGGACGCTCAACAGACTGAGCCACCCAGGCGCCCCAGTGTACTCAAGTCTATTCATCTTTTCCCTAATGGTTTTCCTCCATGGCTTTTATACTGATAAAACCTTCCCCACCCAGACAGTGAGTCAAACAGTCACCCGTTTCCTTACTTATTATTATGTTCCTATTTTATCTTTTTCATCTATTTCCAACTTATTTTGGTGTATGACATTCATCACATTTAAACCGATGCCTCTTCCCAAAGAATGCTGTTCACGGAAGAACACCTCATCCACAGACCCGCGTGGCCTCTTCCTCTGTCTCACATCAAATTCTTGCCCAGGGGCGCCTGGGTGGCTCAGTCAGTTGAGCTTCCGACTTCGGCTCAGGTCATGATCTTGTGGTCTGTGAGTTCGAGCCCCGTGTCGGGCTCTGTGCTGACAGCTCGGAGCCTGGAGCCTGCTTTGGATTCTGTGTCTCCCTCTCTCTCTGCCCCTCCCCCACTTATGCTCTGTCTCTGTCAAAAGTAAACATTAAAAAAAAATTAAAAAAAAAAAATTCTTGCCTGATGAGCCTCTCTTCCAAGGCTCCCTTTTCTGTTCTGCTGGTCTGTGTGTCTACTTCTATATCCATATCCCATCATTTTACTGATTTTACCTTTCTAAAATGACAGTCTTTTTTTTTTTTAAATAGGCTCCACGCCCCACATGGGGCTCGAACTCATGACCCTGAGATCGGGTTGCGTGCTTGACCAACTGAGCCAGCCAGACTAAAAGAGACTCGTAATGTTTACGGATCTAATGTCGAGGAACCACTCTTCTTTCAAGACTCTTTAGTAACTTTGCAGTATTCTTACAGATAACTACTTAAGAATCCTTTTCCCAAACAATTTTTTTTTTTAAACCCCTTGGGGTTTTGATCAGAGATGAGGACATGGCTTTTTGAGGTGTATTCCCCTGCTGGCCTGCTTTAACCACGCGCTATTCTTCCATATGGTCAAACACACAGCATGCATGCTCTCTCCTGAGACTTCTGCCCCTTGGTGTGAGCCCAGAACTGGTGAACTGGCTGCTTTTGGGTCTTTGAGTCCTTTCGGATCCTGTTAATTGTTTCCACACTAGTCCAGGGCTCGCCCCTGCACAGCGGGGCTCCTGCATCGACTTTCCATGGGGTTCCCCCTGCTCCCAGCATGCCCTTCCAGTCTTCCCTGCCCATGGCCACTTCCCTGGTCTCTCTCCCCACATTTCCTCTCTGTCAAGAGCAGACATTGCCATGTCTTAGCCCTAAGAGGGCCGGCTGGCTGTGTAGACTCCCCATAGTCTCATTCAAGGTAAGAGCTAATGCAACCATGTCACCAGGCGGAATGAAGGAGGAAAAAGAAAAAAAAAAGAATGAGTGGAGACAGGTGAACCATGTATCACAAATAAAATCCCACTTACAAGGACGCATATGGAAAATCCCTTGTACCTTCCACTCAACTTTGCTATGAATCTGAAACTGCTCTAAAAAATATCTATTAAAACAAAAATCGTACTGCAACAACACTCTCGAGTATTTTCAAACTTTTTGGTCTGCTACCAACAGTAAGAAATATGTTTAGGGGCACCTGGGTGGCTCAGTCGGTTAAGCATCCAACTTCAGCACAGGTCATGATCTCATGGTCCGTGAGTTCGAGCCCCACGTCAGGCTCTGTGCTGACAGCTCAGAGACTGGAGCTTGCTTCGGATTCTGTGTCTCCCTCTCTCTCCGCCCCTCCCCTGTTCATGCCCTGTCTCTCTGTGTCTCAAAAATAAATAATAAAACATTTTTAAAATTAAAAAAAAAAAGAAATATGTTTATATTGGGGCGCCTGGGTGGCTCAGTCAGTTAAGTATCCAACTTCGGCTCAGGTCATGAGTCACAGTTTGTGGGTTTGAGCCCCACACCGGGCTCTGTACTGACAGCTCAGAACCTGGAGCCTGTTTCTGAGTCTGTGTCTCCCTCTCTCTCTGCCCCTCCCCAACTTGTGCTCTGTCTCTCTCTCTCTCTCTCTCTCTCTCCCTCTCAAAAATAAACAAACATTAACAAGGATTTTTAAATTAAAAAAAAGAAGTATGTTTATATTGAAATATGGAACACACACACATACTTAGAGCAAAAATTTCCTAAAATATTACCCATCCTGATATTTTCTGATATTCTCCATTCAATCTTATCACTTTGATAAGTTTTTTTAAATTCTGGATACAACCCACAACATGATTTCACACTACACTGATTGGTCAGGAAATGCAGTTTGAGAAACCTGCTCCAAAGGGATCCTTGTGAGAACAGTATTAGGATAAACATATTGGTTAAAATTAAAATCGTACATTTCACATGAAGCTTGCTGTCTCTTAGTGTGTTAGTTGGCAAAGGGAAATAGTTGGATCCCACTGGAAAGGATCACTTTCCATACACTTCTCATCCCTGGTCCTTTTCTTCCTCCACAGTTCTGGGATCTTCTGTACATGGTGAGGTGTATGTTGGGGGGGGCCGGGGGTGCGGGTACGTGCAGACGCGAGGCGTTACACCCGCAACGCTTTAAACAGAGTGCAGGAAACAAAGGGTGATGGCTGCATGACCACAGAAGAAGTTCACATATTTCCCCGCCTCCTGTTCTTAGAATACGTGATTTACAGGAAGTGTTTGTTGTTGCTGCTGTTTCGAGGAAGTCAGGTGCCTGGAGATTAGTTAAATGTGTTTTTCTGTCAGTTTGTCTTATTCAGTCTTCACTTCACTGCAACAATTACGAAAACCAAAAGAGTCAGGAAGAGTGATTGCCTACTGCTGTTCCATAACCTTTCTAGAAAGGAATTCTATCTGTGTCGGTATCAGTCTGTACTAACCTTAACTTGCTCTGAGGAGGCAAGCAGTCACGGCAGACAAGCCCGAAGGCAGCGGGTCCGATGTGTGGTCTCTGTTCCACGATTAACGTATGTATGTTCCAGCAGCCCGTGCACCAGAGATGAGGAGACCCAACCTCGGGACTCACACTGGACTGACCAGATCGTGGCTAGTTACAGACAATGTCACAGACCTCAGGTCCTTGTACCCCCCTCCGATTTAACGACAGGAGGTCAGGAGGGGCTCGGCCCCAGTGAACGACCACTCACCTAGGCAGGTGGGCCTTGGGATCTTCTCACTAAGGTGAGGGTGCCGCCCGGCAGGCTCTTCCCCATACTCCGTTGGACCAGTCGGATCAGGCTTGGAACTGGAAATGCCTGGTACACAGAGGGACGACATGAAGCCCAGGTGAATGGGGAGAACTAGGGACCAGTCTGGGTCTGTCAAAGGCACAACCTGAGTGTGAAGAGGAAATAGGAAGGATCTGGGGACCACTTAAAAAACCTTCTCTTAGAAGGCTACTGGGAGCTTCTCAGACACCAGTACTCATGACGTGACCAGGATGTATGGTGAGGGTCACAAGGTGACCGAGAGGGCCTGCCTGCACACCAAGGCTCGCGTTTGGGCGAGCCACTGCTTCTTGGCCCAGTGGGGCTTAGTGGCACAGAGCAGGGACTCAGACACACCGAGTTCCATCGTTAACTCAGCACTTACGAGGAACGTGACAGGAGCTGACACTCACTCTCGTCATCCTTCACACGGGAACACCATCCCCGACCTCGTACATTTAAGGAGTAACCACGCATAATGCAGCCGTGACAGTTCCGGGCACACACACCCTGCTGTCCCCAGTTCCCAGCCATGTCCCCGGTGCCCCCTTCCCCCGAAGAACTTCCATGGAAGCAGCTCTCTCTAACGGACACAGAAAACGTTTAACGTCTGCTCCCCCCGGACCGGCCCACACCCTCACCTCCGGAGACCATCTTCCCGTAGGTCTCCAGCATGAGATCCCAGTACTGCTCCTTCTGGACGGACTCCAGGTGCCTCCACGGCTCCTAGAAAACATGCGATGACATGACTCGAACGCAGGTTTCTGAACCCAGCCTTCCCTCCCCTGTAGGAAAGTGGAGGAAAAAAGGCCTATGCCCTCGCCGCCTGGCCATCAGATGGTCTAAGGAATCACAGGAGGTAGTTCAAGGGAAGAGGCCAAGGGGAAAATGACAGTCTCCACGTCAGTATTTCTTGCCCTGGTTAGAAGACATCTAGATTTTAAGTGCTGGCTTTTCAGTTGCACATACTTAAGAGTCAAGAACACAGAGAGAAGGCAAAAGCTTCTTCTACCCTGTCCTTCTGTCTTTCTTTCTTTTTTAAAATATTTATTTTGACAGAGAGAAAGAGAGAGAGAGAGAGAGCGAGAACACAGGAGAAGCAGAGGGAGAGGGAGAGAGAGAATCCCAAACAGACTCTACACTGTCAGTGTGGAGCCCGATGAGGGGCTTGATCTCACCAATTGTGAGATCACGACCTGAGCTGAGATCACGAGTTGGATGCTGGGGGAGCCTGGGTGGCTGACTCAGTTAAGAAACGGACTTCAGCTCAGGTCACGGTCTTGCAGTTCGTGAGTTCGAGCCCCACACCGGGCTCTCTGCTGTCAGTGTGGAGCCCACTTTGGATCCTCGGTCTCCCTCTCTTGGTCCCTCTGCTGTTCACTCTCTCTCTCTCTGTCAAAAATAAAGATTAAAAAAAAAAAAAGTTGGATGCTTCACCCACTGAGCCCTCAAGCACCCCTTATTTTTTTTAACTCAATGCTTATAATAGAGGTCTTTGAACAGTCGGAATCTGATACTCCCAATATTTCATTAAAATCTGGAAATTCATGGGGCACCTGGGGGGCTCAGTCGGTTAAGCGTCTGAGTTCGGCTCAGATCACAATCTCGCGTTTCGTGGGTTCGAGCCCCGCGTCGGGCTCTGTGCTGACAGCTCGGGGCCTGGAGCCTGCCTCAGATTCTGTGTCTCCCTCTCTCTGCCCCACCCCTGTTCTCACTCTGTCTGTCTGTCTGTCTGTCTGTCTCTCTCTCTCTCTCAAAAATAAACATTAAAAAAAATGTTTTAAAACTCTGGAAATTCAAGAGGGAAAAGGAATTAAAAGGGAATTTGTTAGAAAACCACACGCGAGTCAGCAAAAAGGTGGGAAGCGCCCACAAGGAAGTCGGAGGCATCCCAGTCTCTCTGAAACAGATCAGTGGATTCAGACCAGAGACAGAGGGCTGCCTCCGTGCACACGTGGAGCCTCCCCAACAGTTCTGAGTTCACAGCCTAACGTTAGACCGGTTTTCCTCCCACTCAGTGGAAAATCGATGGGTTCTCTGGAGCAAGGTGTGCCTCAATTGTCCCCCAAAACATGCCCTTCTTCTCCTGTGAAACTGGAGGCTAGAGCCTCAAACCTGGCAACGCTGCCCAGCTGGAGTCCACGTCTGTGGATTCAAATCCCCATCTCCCCGCCAAAGAGCGGAGCGCTGGAGACCTAGTCTGGACGGCGGAGTGATCAACAGCCCGGTCCCGGCTGTAAACTCTACCTGTGTGACTCAACCGGGCCGGGTTTTTGAGTCCCGGCCCTGCCACTTCTACCTGCGTGACCCTCAGCAAGAGACACCACCTTTCTGAGCCTCTGTTCTCACTTGGTGGTGGGATAACACTCACACCCTGATTGACAGAAATAACGCAGGCATCCCGTCTTCACAGCACGCTCTAGTTTTCAGTCCTGGCATTCACCGGCCTAGCGAACATGTAGGTGTTCGGAGATGCACGCACACAGGTGTTTGGCTAAGAGCTGCCCCCATTAGCACGTGAGCTCCAGTGTGTACTTTGTCAGGCCCCGAGACGATGCCCAGGACAGAGCAGGCTCTCGGTGCATTCTGTCTGGGGGAAATAAAGCCCTCGGCAAATAACTCCTCGGAAATCACGCCTGTAGTAGTGTTATTCTATGTGCGGCCTACGGGACACCCGGTCTCCCACGCTCACCAGGGTTTGCAGAGAAAATGAAGGGATGCTGTACTCTTTCAGGAACCCCAAAGTTGATAACCACCCACTATTATGAATAGCCAGGCTACAGGGAGCAAACATGAGGAGGGCAAATAAGAAAATGAGATATTCTCAGGGCATGAGGTATGCTCAGGGAAGCCATTCTCAGTCCTAGGTCAAGTCTGCCTAACAGCATATCAAAGGGAAGCAGAAAGGTCTGAAAAAGCATGATTTACCCAAAAGTCTGCAATTAGCAGATACTAAGCAAAAATTTTAAAAAGAAAACATGGGGTTGGATTTTTTTTTAGGATAAAAATGCAAAAAGTGACTTAGATGTATTTCACGATATACTTAAGCATTAACTATAACCACATTTTTTATTTTAATTTTTTAATTTAAAATTTTCTACTTTGGGGGCGCCTGGGTGGCTCAGTCAGTTGAGCGTCCACCTCCTGATTTCGGCTCAGGTCAGGATCTCACGGTTCGTGAGATCGGGCCCCATATCGGACTCCATGCTGACAGAGCGGAGCCTGCTTGGGGTTCTCTTTCTCTCCCTCTCTCTATGCCCGTCCCCCGTGCGCTCTCTCTCTCTCAAAATAAATAAATAACCTTTAAAAGATAAAATAAAATGTTCAGTTTTGAAAGGAGCTCGTAGAACTGTGAGCTTATTGTGTTAATCTGTGAAGGAAGCTACCTTCACAACCTCCGGAGAAGAAAAGGTTTGAGCAAACACTGCTGAATAGGGGACCCCTCACGCTTCACATGAATCTGATGCAAAACTATGGAATCTGATGCAAAACTACCCTTGATTTTGTGTGGAGACAGCGCCACCTTGTGGGTTTGTGAGACGCTGCCACAGCTGACCCGCACACAGCTCCCCCTGCACTGTGTTCCTCTCCCGAAATCTGAAGACGCAGGAATGTGAGTAAAAGCATCCCCGAGTCTGCGTGAGGCTCTAACTCACTCCTGGTTTCTAACGATGAAACTGCGTGGGGATGCTACCTCATTATTCTGGCATTATTCACGAGGCTCCTAACCTATAAAGGAGATTCGAGGGAGTGATTACATCTATTGCAAGATCCCCTGCATGTAACAAAGCGTCCACTAAATATCAAGCCCCTTCTGGAAGTGCACATGGCCCTTGTTATAGTTGGGAGCAGGGATGCTGGAACCGGTTAAGAATGACTTTTGTTTGTCTGGATCAAGGGGCTGTTAATCAGTTATCTGCTAAATACAGGGAAATGCACACAGACACAGGCATGGCTCATGCCAGTGAACATTTTTTTTAGCCATTTGATTCGAGCTGTCCAGAACAAGTCACAGTCAATGTTGCTACGTAATGTTTCGTTAATGCTTAATTCTACCAGCTAAAAGATGTTCATAAATTGTACAGACCTCTCATAGGAACACTCTGTACTTACTACAGAAGCAACAGCAATCTTCACGTCTGCTTGAAATATTTCACAGAATACCCAAATCTTTTGCACTACAAAACCTAACAATTTGGTTTCTAGGTACCTTGAAAGTGGGAAGACAGGTACTCCTGAGTCACTAAAAAGGTCTGTCCCTCTCCTGCCCTCTCCCATCCCTGTCCCAGGGTGAACTGTGAAGTTCGTATTCTGGTTTCTACATCCCTGAGCCTGGAAATCTGAAGCTCCCACCGGGCTTGGGCAGCACATCACCACCTCCTACTGGCCTCCCTGCCCTTACCTTCTCTAGAGAACCGCAGAGTTCCCCGAAGGCTTGAAACAACGCTTCGATCAAGGAGTACGGGTTCCAGAAAAACTTTATTTTTTAAATAATTTTGTAGTGTTTTCTAAATTTTTTTTTAATCTTTATTTAAAATTTGAGAGAGAGACAGACAGGCAGCGTGATTAGGAGAGGGGCGGTTAGAGATGGGGACAGAATCCAAAGCAGGCTCCAGGCTCCGAGCTGTCAGCACAGAGGGCTCCAGGCACAGCACCCGTGAAACCGCGAGATCATAACCTGAGCCGAAGTCAGACACTTAACCGACTGAGCCACCAAGGTGCCCCCAGAAAAACTTTATTTTTATCAAATGCAACTTTTCAGAATTGTTAACTACGTACTCAAAATAAACCTGTTCCCCAAGTTGTTTCGGATAGAGTAACAGAGACCAGATTTACTTTCCCTCCTGAAACAACTGGAAAAGGAGACAAAATATAGGAAACAACGGTTTGGGGACACCGCCTGTCAGGCGGAGCAGAGCAGAGCTCCCTGAAAGTGAGGAGACAAATCAGGTGAGCCCTGCACTGGCCGAACGCACCACCTGGAGACAACAGCCCGGAAGCACAGGCAGGGGGGCCAGGCTGAGTCAGGCGGCCCCCTCCCCCTAGAGTTGGCGGAAGTTGCTCAGGGTCTGGGAAGGCGAAGGCAGCCAGAGTCAGCGGGGCAGCAGAGCAGAGTGGGGGGCTGAACGGAGAGAAGGCTCCGGAGATCTCCAGGGGGTCCCCCTCGGGTCTGGGAAGGAGCCTCCAGGAGAAGCAGAGCAAACAGAGCTGGCGGTAGGTACTTCCTTCCAGCCAGAGTGGAAAACCTCATACATCAAGCAGCATCAGGCACGATCCACAGAAGGGTCTTGCCTCGGTGGTGGGAGACATTAGCCCAGACTAAAGACTTCTCTGGTGCCATAAAGCTACGTCCAAGCAACTCAGTCACATCCCAGAGCAAAGCTCTAGAACATTTACAGGGGGGCACCTGGGTGCTTCGGTTGGTTAAGCATCCAACTCTTGACTCGGCTCAGGTCATGATCTCACGGTTCGTGGGCTCGAGCCCCAAGTCAAGCTCCACGCTGATAGTACAGAGCCTGTTTGGGATTCTGTCTCCCTCTGCCCCTCTTCTCTGCTCATGCACTCTCTCTCTTCCAAAATAAATAAACGGGGTGCCTGGGTGACTCAGTCAGTTAAGTGTCCAACTCTTGATTTGGCTCAGGTCATGATCTTACAGTTCATGAGTGTGAGGCCCAAATCTGGATCTGTGCTGATTGCGTGGAGCCTGCTTGGGACTCTCTCTCCCCCTCTCTCTGCCCCTCCCTCACTCGTGCACATGCTTGCTCTCTCTTGCGCTCAAAAATCAATAAATAAATATTTTAAAAAATAAAAAGGGGTGCGCCTGGATGGTTCAGTTGGTTGAGGGTCCAACTTTGACCCAGGTCATGATCTCACAGTTTGTGGGTCTGAGCCCTGCATCAGGCTCTGTGTTGACAGCTTAGAGCCTGGAGCCTGCTTCAGATTCTGTGTCTCCCTTTCGCTCTGCCCCTTCCCTGCTCACACTCTGTCTGTCTCTCTCAAAAATAAACATTAAAAAAAATTTTAGTAAAAATAAAATAAACAAACATTAAAAAAAAAAAAAGAAGTTTTATAGGAATGCCAAAATACTCGGCACCCAACAAAGTAAAATTCACGTCTGACATCCAATCAAAGGTTGCTGGGCATGGTTAAGTAGCAGGAAAACACCTCACAATGAGATCAATCAATCCATCAAAACTGACTCAGAAATGACACAGGTGATAGATTAGCAGACAAGGACATTAAAATAGACATCATAGGGGCGCCTGGGTGGCTCAGTCGGTTAAGTGTCCGACTTCGGCTCAGGTCATGATCTCACGGTTCGTGAGTTCGAGCCCCGCATCGGGCTCTGTGCTGACAGCCTGGAGCCTGGAGCCTGCTTCAGATTCTGTGACTCCCTCTCTCTCTGCCCCTCCCCCACTCACACTCTGTCTCTGTCTCTCTCAAAAATAAATAAAACGTTAAAAAAAATTTTTTTAAACAGACATTATAGCCATATTCCGTACCGTCAAGAAAATGTAGGAACAACAGAACATGTTAAGTACAGATGTGAAAAATATAATGAAGCCCCAATTCAAACTTCTAGAGATGAAAAAGACATTTGAGATGAAAAATACACTGGATGGGATTAACAACAGATCAGACAAAGCAGAAGAGAAGATTATTGAACTTGAAGACACATGAACAGGGAGTATCCAAAATGAAACAGAGATTTTTTTTTTAATAGACACAGAAAGCATCAATAAAGCTCTGGCACAACCTGGAGAGCTCTAATGAACATACACACGTTATCCTCACACAGAGACCACGTGGAAGGCTCTCAAAATCCACAAAGAAGTGGAGAAGGAAGGGAGACAGAAGATGGTCGAAGAGATACTGGTCAAGATTTTCCAAATTTGATGAAAACTATAAACCCACAGATCCAAGAACCCCACACGAAGAAAATGAGTCCTAGGCCATCCATCGTAGTCAAACTGTTAAAAACCACTGAGAAAATATCAAAAGAAGCAAGAAAAATATATTACACGCAGAAGAACGAAGTTAAGAGTACAGATGACATGACTCCATTTCACACCCAATTCTAGAAAATGCAAGCTAATGTATGGTGACAGAAAGCAGCTCAGTGGCAGCCTTGGGATCTCAGCACTGGGGGTGGTGGGGGGCAGGTGGGAGGGGTCACAAAGGGGCAAAAGGAAACCGTGGGCGTAACAGGGATGTTTACCAACCTGATTGTGAACATGGTTTCACACGTGTGTATAGGTGTCAAGAAACTTACCAAACCGTATGCTTGAAATATGTGCGCTTTACTGTTTGTCCGCTACACCTCCCTAAAGCTGGGGGAGGTCGCCCGGCCCACGTGACCCGTAACCATCCCAACTCTTAAACTGACTCCGTGGGGGAGGCCGAGACCAGGAAACAGAGTCTTTTCTCCGCACGACCCCAAGAGCAGGAGCAGGACAAACAAGAGGGAAGCTTCACAGCCACTTCCTCCAGGAAGAACGGGTCCAGATTCCGTTATCAAGGTGACGATCACCCAGCCTTCTGCCTCAAGAGAAATACTGGGACTCGGGCTTCATTCCCCGTGCCTGTTGTTGCCCTCGCTAGCCGTCCTCTCTCCTTCTGACAGCACGTCCCCTTTCCACGCTCCCGCTGGAGCCCCGGCGGGGGGAAGACAAGCAGGGAAGCCGGCTCACCTGAGGTGCTGCTTGGAGCACGGAGGCTGTGAAGTCCTGGTCTCCGACGAGCCTTTCGTCCAGGGCGGCAGCGGCCAGCGCTGGAGCGAGGAACAGAAAGTTGGAAGGCTCTAGATGTCGTCGCAAACCACTCCCCGGAGGGCACCGATGCAATCGGTCGGTACACGTCAGAAGTGATGCCCGTCCCTCCCTCGCCAACCAGCCCCAGCTCGCTCCAACCTTCCCAACAGTCTCGTCCACAGTTTCCTCCTCCTTCCTCAGAACCAAAATTCACGTGGTCTGGCCCAGCCATAGAGGAGATTCACGGACCAGAGCTCCCCCTCAGAGGGATTCAGTTAAGCCCACTCCGTTTCCAGACTTTCCAGAGATACCCTGATCCGAGCAGCATATCATTTTCCACTCGGTCTTAGGCCCACTAACCGCGGCCCCCAGATTTCCCCGAGAACTCACCACATGCCACCGCGAGGAAGCGCCCCTCACCTAATTCTTGCTCCACGTCAGACTCCTCTTTCACAGCACGGCTCGGCGGCTCCCCAGGCCTGGAGGGGAAGGCCCGAGGTCCCAGCTCCTGAGACGCCATTTCAAGATGGCGCCCCGCTCCCCCCACGCGGCAGCTTGCGGAGTCCGTCTTCTCCGATAGGATTTCTTGTCCCAGAACTTGGATGCTGATCTAGAGACCACGCAGAATTAGTTACTGAAGGATCCAGAATGAGGGGTTCTGAAAGAAACACAGCTAATGCTCCATAACAGACCACAGGGCCGTCCTCGGGGACATGGAACAGGGAAAGAGGCACAGGAGCTTTTCCGTCTAGACCAGCAGGAAGCTGTGAGGAAAACGACCTGAGGGGAGGCCGAAAGCGACGCCTGAATCAGGCGTGGGAGGTCTTCAAGGCACGCCATGGAGGGGCGCCTGGGTGGCTCAGTCGGCTAAGCGTCGGACTTCAGCTCAGGTCATGATCTCACAGTCTGTGAGTTCGAGCCCTGCATTGGGCTCTATGCTGATGCCTCGGAGCCTGGAGTCTGCTTTGGATTCTGTGTCTCCCTGTTTCTCTGCTCCTCCCCTGCTTGCACTCTGTCTGTCTCTCTCTCTCTCTCAAAAATAAATAAACATTAAAAAAAATTAAGAAAAAATAAAGGGAAAGTTCGTCGACAATGTGTTTCTACTGGATAGTCTCCACCAGTGAAAACTCAGGTATCCTTTGTACAACTTCCCGGACACTTGAGTCTAAAGATGGACAGAGACGGGGCGCCTGGGTGGTGCAGTCGGTTAAGCGTCCGACTTCAGCCAGGTCAGGATCTCGTGGTCCGTGAGTTCGAGCCCCGCGAGTTCGAGCCCCGCGTCGGGCTCTGGGCTGATGGCTCAGAGCCTGGAGCCTGTTTCCGATTCTGTGTCTCCCTCTCTCTCTGCCCCTCCCCCGTTCATGCTCTGTCTCTCTCTGTCCCAAAAATAAATAAACGTTGAAAAAAAAAATAAATTAAAAAAAAAAAATAAAGATGGACAGAGACAAGAGGCTTTGGCCTCTGTTTGTAATGGTCAGAGTCCCAGGGAGCCTTAGAATTAGGGGAGACACGGGGACACACTGGGGCGATACAATAAGAAACACGGATTTCGTCTCTGTCCCAGGTTCCTGGCACAGAGTTGCTAAAACCCTTGGAATTGCCCTAAAGGAAGGGAGTGACAGGAGCAATTCTGTTATTCATGATGAGCCCCTTTCAATCACGCCTGAGTTGAGGCTAAGCAGGGGACGCTTGGTGGGGCCCCAGAGAGCTTCAGGACGGAGGCTGGTCATCAGAGATGCCTACCGGGTGATCAGAGGATTGACCTCACAGCCCCAACCCTCAACCTCTGAGGAAGGGAGAGGGGCCGGAGATTTTCGGTCACCAATGGCCAATGACTAATCTCTCATGCCTAAGTAACGAAGCCTCCGTCAAGCTCCCCAAATGATGGGGTCTGGGGAGCCTCTAAGCTGGTGAACACGCAGAAGTACCGGGCACACGGCATGCCGGGAGAGGCCACGGAAGCCCCACACCATCCCCATGGCCTCCTGCTGCTGCTCCTGAATCACGCTCCTTATCATAAACCAGCAAGGGTAAGTCGTGCTTTCGCGAGTTCCGTGAGTCATTCCCTGTCCAACCTGGGGAGGGCGTTGTGGGAACCAGCAAATATACAGCCAGTCGGTCTTAAGGACAGTTGGCCTGTGTGACCTGTGACTGGTGTCCAAGATAAGAGCATTCTCGTCAGACTGACCCTTATCCCCCTGGGTCTGCCAACCCCAGAATGTTCGTGTCGGGTTTGAACTGACTTGTAAGACACCGGGCCGGTATCAGAAAGTTGGAGAATAGGGGTGCCTGGGTGGCTCAGTCGGTTAAGCATCCGACTTCGGCTCAGGCCATGATCTCACGGCTCGTGGGTTCCAGCCCCGCGTCGGGCTCTGTGCTAACGGCTCAGAGCCTGGAACCTGCTTCGGACTCTGTGTCTCTGTTTCTCTCTGCCCCTCCCCTGCTCACACGCTGTCTCTCTCTCTCTCTCTCTCAAAAATAAACAAAACATTAAAGAAAAGAAAAGAGAAGAAAAGAAAAGAAAGTTGGAGAACTGGTCGTTAGTGTGGAAAACCACACATGGTGAGAGTCAGAAAAAAAGACAAGACGCCTCGTGAGACCCCAAGGGAGCCCTGTGCCTCGCTGGCGGATCACCCCCTCTGCTTACCCACCGCCACAGTCTCTGGGGGTCTCCCTTCAAGCTCTCCACGAGGGTCACTGCCTCCTCGCCGCTGCCCGGACACTGGGTCCGCACCCACGTCTGGATCTCCCCGGGCAGGATGGTCAGGAACTGCTCCAGCATGAGGATCTCCAGGATCTGCTCCTTCGTGTGAACCTCTGGCTGCAGCCACTGGAAACAGAGCTTCCGAAGCTGTCTCAGGGTCTCGTGGGGCCCAGATGTCACCTGGTAACGAAACTGCCTAAAGAGCTGGCGGGCGGTCTCGGGGTTACAGAGCTCCCCTCGAGGGGCAGCGTCCGGTCCGCAGAACGGGGAGTCCTCGGCCTTCGCCAGCTGCGGCAGCAGGGCCAGGGCCTGCCCCAAGTCGACAGGCATCATCTGGCTCGGCGGGTCCCTTTGGGTGAAGGGTTTCCCGGAGGGGGCTGTCTCGGGTGGGGAGTGGGGACCAAGTCTTCACCGAGGCTCTCACAGGGACACTAGAGAGGGAGAGAGAGCCGGTGCTGCACAGAGAAGGACACAGTATCAGTGAGAACGAATTCACAGGCCCTACCTGAGAAGCAACAGCTCCACTACTCTCCTCTGAAAGATTACAAACCTGAAGCCGCCAAGCAAGTCGCTTAATACCGTGTCTAAACTGGCATCTTCACCCAGACCGTCTTACGACATTCTCTCTTGGGCTTCAAAGGGCCAGACCCAGTAGAAGGATGAAATGCATCACGTGAAGCATTTTCACCCTGGTTTTCCACGCGAACGGCTCTTCCGCACGACACTTCCTTAACTGCCCCCGCGAGCGTGCAGACTAAACGGTAAAGCTGAACAAAGACGTCATCAACACCCTAGAAGGGGTGATGCTGAAACGACCTGATGCTTCCATAAGGAATAAGGGGTGAAAGAGGACAAATTAATTCTTCCCCAACAGGTGCAACGAAATTTCCAGGTGACCTCTTCTGAGGGCAGTGTTGGAAACGAGACTGTGTGGGAATCGATGAAAAACCTGTCCCAAATGAAATGCTCAACTCCGGGGTTAGAGAAGGCTTAGAACCAACAGTGACTACCCCCAAAAACACTCCTCTGGCCTTGAACTAAGTGAGCACTATTTTATGGCAACTGGCCTAAAAATCTGGAAGACAGTGGCTAAGCTGGTGGAAAAAGGAATGTTAAATGACAAAGGTAGTATTTAGAAATGCTTAAAGGATCAGTTTATTTAACTATTTCTGGTTAACTGTCTTGCATAGGATCCTAATGTTGGATTATTGGGCCAATCCTTAAATGTTATAAAAGCGCTGTAGGCCATCATTCCTCCAAAACACTAATTGGAACCATAAAAGCAAACAGACACACCCAATCAGTTAATCTGTCTGGCTTAATTAGAGATCGGTAGAATACTCCAGCTTTTCATAGCTGCCTTTTTCTTGTGGTACAGGAAGGAATGTCTTCATGCCTAGCACTTCAAACAACTCATCCTGTATCAGAAAATCATTTAAAAACTATAAATAAACAAAACATAAAGTAAAATAAAAAATAAAACGTTTCAAGCAAAAAAAGGAAAGGGTGAGGGGCACCGCGTGGCTCAGTTAAGTGCCCCGCTCTTGATTTCGGCTCAGGTCACGATCTCATGGCTTGTGCGTATGAGCCCCGCATTGGGCGCTGCACTGACAGTGGGGAACCTGCTCGGGATTCTCTGTCGCCTTCCCTCTTTGCCCCTCCCCACTCATGTTTTTGCTCTCTCTCTCAAAAAGAAACATTAAAAAAAAAAAAAGGGAAAGAAGTAAAAAGGATTAAAGGATTAATCCAGGGGCACCTGGGTGGCTCAGTCAGTTAGGCGTCCAACTTCAGCTCAGGTCATGATCTCACGGCTCGTGAGTTCAAGCCCACGTCGGGCTCTGTGCTGACAGCTTGGAGCTTGGAACCCGCTTCCGATTCTGTGTCTCCCTCTCTCTCTGCCCCTCCCCTGCTCATGCTCTGTCTCTCTCTTTCTCTCTCAAAAACAAATAAAAATTTTTTAAAAACTTTAATAAAGGATTAACCCAATATTACAGGTTTCATATGTGGACCTCATTGCACTTATTTTTTGGTTCAACAAGAAACCCACATGTTTCGTTCATTTATTCAAACAGAAGCCAGGGTGCCATGCTGATGATGTGCTCAGTACAGACGTGTTTGAGCACTTCTGTTTCTGGCCGTAGCAGAGTACCTGGTAGTAAGACCAGCCCACCCACTGTCAACAACTACAGAACTACAGAAAACATTTAGGGCAATTGTTTTCCTGCACTAGACAACTGGCAGACAAGAATGAGGTCCCCGAGAGAAGAAAACCTCATGGGGAAGAGGCCCACGATCATCCTGGCTGACCGCATGGCGACAATTTCCCAACAATGGTGCAGGAAGCTGGAGCTCAAGCGGAGTTCGGTGGTCTCAACAAACTGAGGAGGGAGAGATCAGAACTTGGAGCCGCTTTAGTGTCTGGAATCTGAACAACAGATCAGTGGAAAGAATGGAGCTATGGCAGGGAGGGGGGTGGTCATGAAGAAGTCTGTGTGGGGTTTTCCTGTGAGCCCTTGGCCAAGGGTTGGACTGCACAGGGGCAGGGTGAAGTTATGCAAAGTTTACAGACAGCAGATGCTACAGGGTTAAGAGCAAAAGAGATACAAAATAAATGCCAATCAGGAATGAGAGATATTTGAGTTTGTGACCACTAAGAATGGAGAGACCTCGTTAATACCCAAAGCATCCTGAGATACCAGAAAGGCCAAACGTTAGGATTGTTAGGAGTAAATACAATGCCCTAGAGTAAGATCTACTCTAAACTGGCCCTAAAAGAGCCAAAAGCCAAGCACCAACAAGATCCACAGAGGAAATGCAGCCTCCTGGTCTGGCCTAATCAAGTTAGAACGCCTCAGGATACACTCTGGCCTTTCCAGAGAGATCTGTCCTAACAAGGCATAAAACCAAGCTAACTCAAGTCAAAGGTGATCAATGAGTAACTCAACTGCCTGCCAGAACAAAACTCAATACTCCTCAGAGGAAGATCACAGAATACTGCAATGTGCCACCCGCAATATTCAAGACGTAACCCCAAATTATTAGACATTTAAAAACATGATAATGTGACTCAAAGTCATTGAAAAAAAAACAGGAGAAACCAACCCAAAGATGGCCCAAGGACTGCAAGAAAAATATAGCCATAATGAAAGAAGACATAGGGACATTCCACAGAGAAATTGAAATTATAACAAAGAACCAAATCCAAATTCTAGGAAAAGAATTATCAACCCAGATTTCCACTCCAGTAAAAACATCTTTCAAAAAAAAGAATAGAAAGATACCTGCTTTTGGAATGTGTTCAAATTCAAGCAACCATCAACTAAACAGAGACTGTTATAAATGTGATATACAAGCCCAACAGTTAACACAAATCAAAAACCTATAATAGGTACACAAAAAATAAAGAGAAACGAATCCAAACATAACACTAAAGAAACCCATCAAACCACAAGGGAAGAGAGCAAGAGAAGACAGCAACAGAGAACTACAAAAATAACAAGAGAACAGTTAAAACAGCGATAAATATGTAATTATAACAATTACTTTAAATGGTCTAAGTGCTCCAAAACAAGATACAGAGTAACTGAATGAATAAAAAAAACAACAACAACAACAAAAAAAACCAACACTCATCTATCTGCTGCCTGTAATAGACTCACTTCAGACCTAAAGACTCGTACAGATTGAAAGTGAAGGGATGGAAAAACATATACCATGCAAATAGAAGTGGAAGGGGATAAAAAAGCCAGAGTAGCAATACTATATCAGACAAAACAGACTTTAAAACAAAGACTATAAACAAGAGACAAAGAAGGACACCATATAATACGGGGATCAATCTAACAAGAAGATATAACAATTGCAAATATTTATGCGACCAACATAAAGGCACCTAAATACATAAAGCAAATATTAAAAGACATAAAGGAAGAAACTGGCGGTCATACCATAATAATAGGGGAACTTAACACCCTACTTACATCAACGGATAGATCATCCAGACATAAAATCAACAAAGAAACTGGCTTTAAACCACACAGTAGGCCAGATGGAACTAAGAGATATATTCAGAACATTCCATTCAAAAACAGCAGGATACATTATTTCCAAGTGCACTTGGAACACTCTCCAAGGCATCACATGTTAGGCCACAAAACAAGTCTCAGTAAATTTAAAAAGACTAAAGTCATATCCTGCATCCTCTCTAACCACAACTAGAAATCAATCTGGAGAGAACACAAACACATGGAGGCTAAACAACATGCTATCTAACAGTGAAGAGGTCGACCAAGACGTCAAAGAGGAAATCGAAAAATACGTGGAGACAAATGAAAACAACCTAAAATCTTTGGGATGCAACAAAAGCAGTTCTAAGAGGGAAGTTATAGCCATATCGGCCTGCCTTCAGAAGGAAAATCTTAAACAACCTAAACTTACACCTAAAGGAGCTAGAAAAAGAAGAACAAACAAAACCCAAAACGAGTAGAAGGGAGGAAACACATTAAACCTTGGTTTGAGAGCATAATTCATTCCGGAAACATGCTTGTAACCCAAAGCACTTGTATATCAAAGTGAATTTCAAGAACCACCAGCTCACTTGTGATCACGTGACATTGAGCATCACATACTACTCATATTGCAAGACATCCCTCGTTTATCAAGTAAGATTTTTAGAAATGTTTGCTCGTCTTGAGGAACACTCACAAAACAAGTTACTTGCGATCCAAGGTCTTACTGTAATAAAGAGTACAGCAGAAATAAAAATAGAAACTAAAAAGCATAGAAAAAGATCAATGAAACCAGGAGCTGGTCCTTTGAAAAGATCAACAAAATGGATAAATCTTTAGCCAGACTCATCAAAAAAGGAAGAGAGGGGTGATTCAAATAAATAAAATCAGAAATGAAAGGGGCGCCTGGGTGGCTCAGTTGGTTGAGCATCCGACTTCAGCTCAGGTCATGATCTCACAGTTCATGGGTTCGAGCCCCACGTTGGGCTCTGTGCGGACAGCTTGGAGCCTGGAGCCTGCTTCGGATTCTGTGTCTCCCTGTCTCTCTCTGCCCCTCCCCAGCTTGCACCCTGTCTCTCCCTCTCTCAAAAATAAATAAACATTTTAAAAACTTAAAAAAAAAAAATGAAAGAAAAATAACCACAGAAATACAAAGGATTATAAAAGAGTATGATGAAAAATTATATACCACCAAATTAAACAATCTAGAAAAAAATGGATAAGTTCCTATAAGCATGCAATCTTCCAAAACTGAATTAGGAATGGAAAATTTGAATGAAACAACTGCTAGTAACAAAACTGAATAACTAACCAATACTTTTAACAAACAAAAGTCCAGGACCAAATGGCTTCACAGGTGAACTCGACCAAATATTTAAAGAAGGGTTGATATCTATTGTTCTCAAACTATTCCAAAACAGAAGAGGAAGGAAAACTTTCAAATTCATTCTACAAGACGAGCATTATCTTAACACCAAAATCAGACAGAGACACTACAAAAAAAAAGAAAACTACAGGCCAATATCTCTGGTGAACATAGATGCAAAAAATCTCAACAAAACATTTGCAAACCAAGTTCAACAATACATTAAAAAAAAAAAAAACCTCGATCAATTGGTTCAATATTCGCAAATCAATGTAATACATCCCATTAACAAGAAAAAGAATAAAAACTATATGATCATTTCAACAAATGCCAAAAAAGCATTTGACAAAATACATCCATTCATGATAAAAGCTCTCAACAAAGTGGATTTAGAGAACATACCTTAAAATAAAAAGGCCATACATGAAAAACCTGCAGCTAACATCGTACTCAGTAGTGAAAACCTGAAAGCTTTTGCTCTATGATCAGAAACAAAACAAGGATGTCCACTCACCACTTTTATTCAACATAGTATTGGAAGTCTGAGCTGCAGCAATCAGACAAGAAAAAGGAATTAAAAGGCATCCAAACTGGTAAGGAAGAAGTCACTATTTGCAAATAACATAGTACATATAGAAAACCCTAAAGCCTGCATGAAAAAACTATTAGAACTGAAAAATGAATTCAGTAAAGCTAGGATCCAAAATTAGCATACAGAAATCTGTTGTGTTCCTGTGCACTAATAATGAAGTAACAGAAAGAGAAATTAAGGAAACAATCCCATTTATAACTTCACGTAAAGGAATATAATACTGGGGCACCCGGGTGGCTCAGTCAGTTAAGCGTCCATCCGTCTTTGGCTCAGGTCATGATCTCACGGTTCGTGAGCTGTGCTGACAGCTTGGATCCTGGAGCCTGCTTCGGATTCTGTGTCCCCCTCTCTCTCTCTGCTCCTCCCCCACGCTCAGTCATGTGTGTGCGCACGCTCTTTCTCTCTCTCTCTCAAAAATAAGTAAACATTTTCTTAAAATTTTTAAAAAAGGATACCTAGGAATAAATTTAACAAAGAAAGTGAAAGACTTGTACTCTGAAAACTATAAGAAGTTGCCGAAAGAACCACAGATGACACAAACAAATAGAAAGA